ATATATATTTTAAATAAATAGCTATGTTCTACGAAATAATGCTCTTACTTTTAGAAAAAAAATGACTCCTTTAAGATTCTTTTTCCTAAATATTAATAAAAATATTTTTAATAACTTTAAATGTAAGTTAAGTGTACAGAGCGCAAAATAAAAAATTAAATACATCAAATAAATTTTGATTAAATGAACGGATTTTCACGTACCACATATCAATCTTAATGGTTCGAGAGCCTGATCTCAAATATCCTAATTAATTAATGCAGGCGATATTTAAAGTTACGAAATCAGACAAACGTAAGTACGTTCTCTGAATAAATATACCTTTTTTCCGACTGAAAAGGATTCTCATAATATGAAGGATAGCAGAACTCACGATATTGGGAGGGGGGTAGAAAATATGGCTCCTATAGATCATCCGAGATTTTTCGAAAGTTTTGAACCCTTAATGCTAATTTGGGTTTTCAGTATTTTGCTTTATCTAGAGAAATTTTTAAGCGAATCGACAAGATTTGATATACAATTATATAATTTCGAAACACATTTGAATTAAAAGGTATGCAAATATTTACACAACTTTAAGGAACGTAATTTTGAACAACACAATAATTTTATGCACTAACTATAATTTTAATACATATAATTTGATAGCAACAATTTGATTTTTAATTAATTAATTAGTAATTTGATAACAATAATTTTAAACTTAATTTTAAACGCTATATGTGAGAGCCATCGGTTGAACAAATTTTGAGTCATCAAATTGTATTCTATTTTAAATTTGATCTCCAGAGAACTTTTCGCTCTATTTTATTCAAATTTTGTATTAGAGCCGCGATGGCTCAGGGGTAGAGCGTTCACTCTCAAATGAGGTGAGCCAGGTTTGAATCCCAACGATGACTGGTTGATAGAAATCCGCATCCAGCTTGAACAGACCACGGTGCTGACGTGAAATATCCTCAGTAGCGATCATGGGTTAAAGTCCATTTGCCGTCAGGCTTACCATGGGTGGTTCTAATGGTCTTCCTCTCCATATAACGCAAATGCGGGTTAGTTCCACCAAAAAATTCCTCCACGAAGGCAAATTTTACCCACTACTTAATCCAGGAATTCCCTTGTCTACTTGATTAAGATAAAAATTACAAGGCTGAACATTAGTAGTAGTAACATTAGTTGAACATTATTAGTCGTAAACCCAAAAATTTGGTCGGCTGTTCAACGACGGTTGTAAAATAAAATAAAAAGTTCGTATTAAAATGAGTTCTTTTTAGTGATAAAAAAAATTGTATATCTTACAAATCAAAATTTTCTTCGGCCATTATTAAGTAAAATAGGAAGAAAAAAATAAATTAGTAAAATTATATTTTGTATCGTTAGATAAATGAATTTTATAATTTTTGATGTGCAATAAAAGTTCAAGAAATATGGTGAATTATGAAAAAAGTAAGTATGAAGTGCATTGTAAAAATTCGATATTAAAAAGTTAATCTTTAAAAGATGCGAGTCCTCCTAAAGCAAAAGACGAGTAGTTACATAAACATGTTTTAAAGGAATGTAATAAAAACTAAAAAAAAGCATACATATAATATGCTTAAATACCATTCAGTTCAAGCAGTCTTCATGTTTCGTATTATTTTTGTACTTTAACTGAATATTATTATAAGGCTTACTTTAAAAGAAATTAAAAATATATATATATATATTTATATATTGCATGATTCTTC